CATTCAGGTGTAAAGTAAGTTACCAATATCATCGTTCGAGTTCTGATCTTATCCACAAATATCGGAAGGAATATGCAAATATAAATACTTTTGTAAAGGTCCATGAGTCCAGAATATAATTACACACATCCGTTCACATTCGCTCTAAGCTCAATTTAAGATATTGCTACCAAAAAACAAAGCCTGGTTATCCTCTGACTGTGTACTGTCAGTACAAAGCTATGTGGTCGTGGCGAGGCTCACGTAGTTCGTTTTTTCCAGCACAGACCCGCCACCGTTCTCTACATGTGTGTTGTCCCACCAGCAGAGACACTTTTCCAGCTTCCTGAACAGTAACGAGCTGTATAGTTTGTTGAATGAACTCATTCGAAAGGTAGTTTTGCTATAAAATGTGAGGTGTATAACGTAGCTTTTCTCGAACAGAGTCAAGTACAACATCTGCGGTGAGAAGGCTATTTATCCAATACAAAATGTGTACAGAGCAAAACTATGCGACTAAATAGACCATTGATGGTGAAGGTGAACATTGGTGAGCAAACACGAGGTGTTGCTTTATTCATTATTGACGGAGAGGATGACATTTTGGCGGATTTAGTCGGTCTCCTTCGGAGCCTGGAAACGAAGTTGTCTGCAACCTATCTAGCCAAGCGCCTCCATAACCAGACAGAAAAAATACTTGACTATGGTTTGAATCACACTGAAAACAAAATAGATTCTTCGCACTTCGACTGAAATCTCGGTTTAGTTTTTCCTTGTTTGATTATGGATGTTTTTGCGTGGGTAGGTGGCAGTCAACTTGGCCTTTCAGGGCTCTGGAAAAGGCGAAATCTGCCGAAATCCCAGCTTCTCCGTCAATACAGATTGTAACGCCTGCTGTTTGCTGAATAAGAATAAAGTGTTTTATTTGATCATTGCCGAAACTAATGGAAAGTCGGTCTTGTAGGGTGAATTGGGCCCAATGCTCATTCAAAACAATGTCATTATCGCTGATGGTTTGAAGAACAAATAGTTCGTAGTCGTCACGATCGTTTCTATCCTGATGGCTGCACGCTTTATACATTGTAAGAAGATTTTCGCTGTATGACATTGACGTTTGTATCGCTGGTTGTCTGTACTGTAAAGATGAATGTAAGAGGGAAATTGAAACTCTCCTAGATTTGTCAGACAAACTCCCAACTACTGTCGAAGTACATAATTGGTATATTTCGAGTAGAAATTGACAACTGGCTTATCTGCACTTTATAGGTGCGATCGCATAGACATTCGGTAACCTTGGAACTCTGCATATACATTTTTCGAACAATCAATGATTGAATTGCAAAGTTTCCCATCTACATAGAGCATTATTGGTAGAGTGCTTTACTGTCTTCTAGATTCGGTTCTGTAGAATGGAATGATCTTCCCCAGAATGGTCTTAAGACATTTTGCAATTCCCAAAACTCTAAAGACGAAGGGAAACATTGACTTAACAGATGTTCTTCACAGTCCGATGACTGAAGATTCGGAGGTAGTATTCAGTTTAAGCGCGTACTCCCTGTCTCGTGGTGTGCTGGAATGAACACGTGGTCTTTGACTCAATCCCGCGCCTCGGGTTCACCAAGCTTCCATCCCTTCGTGGTGGGGAAATTAGTATCAGAGTTGTCTAGGAGAATACAACACTAATTTGGTAGATCATTAGCCTAAAGCTCGGTCTGTGTAGGCCATATATACATTAAGTCACATCTATCGATGGCTGGTGAAGCTGAATACAAGTCGCATTCCTCAGGGATTGAACAACGTCAAGAGTTTTATCTTTTATCACCTATTCAGTCTAAACCGGAAGAATGCCGTGACTTTGTGATAGTATAAAAAGTTTTACACAAAACACAACAGGTTTTGCAGTAATTCCCAAGACCAACTTTCTATTAACCCTGGCATTGGTTAATTGTGTGCTTTTTTCTTGATGAGCTCAGGCGAGGTTGTAACCTTACTTTTTACTCAGAGAAAAGTTGGCATTCTTTCTAGTTCTTGGAATACGTTAGAGTGGATTACAGCTGTTTAGCTTGCTTTAAATGTTTACATTCCAATTATTGAGACGTTCTAGCCCATCTCATGAACACTCAGACCTTCCTGGATTGTCCACGTAACGCGCGTCCTAACTTTGCGTATCTGGCGGAGTCTTTTGACGTTACCACCCTCTATCGAAACGTGTCGAATGACTTTGCTATGAAAGCCATTCTTGAATTCCTTATGGAACACGAAGGAGCAATAAACATGTATAACTTCACCATTCAGCAGTTGGTGACACTCCTAAAGGTGTGCCTAAACTTCAGATGGTCTAGGAGGCATCTCGTACAAATGAGAGTGCTCCCAGTGAGTGGCACTGGCACTAAGCATTGCTACTGTATTTATGGCTGAGGTGGAAGCACTAGTAGTCGATCTCTGGCCGCTACTCTATTGTGGATATATAGGTGACTATTTTGTCACCCGCTCCAAACAAAAGGAGATAGACTAATGTCTTGAGTTATTGAACGAATAGTCAGTATACCTAATATTTACCTCAGAAAAACTGAACGAGAACTGGTTTTCATTTTTGAGCGCTCAAATTAGCCTATCAGAAAACGGTTACACCATAAAGTGGTACCGAAAGCTAAACTGCAAAAACATACTGTTTCATTACCTCTCCTTTCACACCACACACACAAAAAGTGCGTAGGAAACACGTTTCGAAAAGCCACTAATGGGTGCACGGAAAGAAAGCAGGAACAAGGTTCCCCGAAATCTTTTCTATACGACCCCGTTTCCTCGCATCCGTCATCCACGAGCAACTTTTTACATGTGGCTTTGGCTGATGTATGATGATTGTCTTTTAATCACGATTACCGTTGAATGCTGGTCGAGTCGATCCAACCTGGAGTCCTGAGATAGACGGGCGTTCCCACTTGTACTGCGGGAATGGCCTTTTCTAAACAAGTCCGGTAACAATCTCTCGGCCTCAGGGTATGAGAGACATGGCGAACACGACGCGCGGTCGAACCACCATCGTGCTCGTGATGATCGGCAACATTATTAATGTGCTACCCATCCCCTATCCTTGAAATTGGCTTGGCAGATGACCACTTCCAATGGCAACAAAACAGTACCTACTCGGGATAGCTGCAGAGGAAAATCCAGGACCCAAAACGGCACTTCCAGCGAGAATACGGTCCCGCTAATCTTGCTCTTTATATCAGACGAAATAAGTGCAGCTATAAAACGTTGGTCAAAAACGGCAAGTCTAGAGAATTCAGAAGCAGTGATTGAAATACCACCGAGCACTCTATGACACCAGCTAGTTCGCAACCGTCTGCATGACCATCTATACACGACGCAAAATTTCATAATATGCCCTAACGGTGAAGACGATAATTGCATAAGTTCGGATATGGTAAAGCCTGATCTCTTGTTAGGCGTGCGAGGACCAAAACGTTAACGCTATGTGTAGACTGCCTTTCGTCCCTGTAAAGGGACGTTGAAAACACTTAAGGGATAGATAAAGCTGTCGGCGTTGATCAATCGCTGAGGGATGAACCATGCATTCGACTTCATTAAGTATCGCTGGAGTTGACTTAATGCATATCTGACCCTTACAATGACTCGCGGTGACCTACCGATGTATCAAGCCGGTGCTGTTATTCTCCCATACAAGTCTTGTACCAATTTGCTGACCCCGGAGGGATGGAAGGCTTGATGGGCCATGTGCGTTGTAATCAATTCCACGTGTGTGTCGCAGCGGCACCAGCAACCACTGCGCCACACGCGCCAAAGAAAAGTTAGTCGTTAGAATTAAGATTAAATCAAATACTCCACTAGGCGATCATAAGACACAAAGACATAACGGGAAAGATTTTGAAGTAGAAGTTATCATCCTCGCACAGGAATCGAACTCATTAACGCGAAAACTCATGGGGCATTCTGGATAAATTTCAGGGATCCGAAAATAAACCGTAGGGAAGATTGCTACGTCATATCAAACACTACTTAAGAATGATATTTTAATGTTAGAGAGGCTCATTACGCATCCATACAGGACAAAATGCGGTTGGTATCCACGTGGAATGCCTCTTTCATGGCTCCTCTAACCACTGCGCTACACACATCCTTTTTCCAAAGTGCAAGGACATGAATCAGCAATCCTTATCAGTCACAAGACATAGGGGTTCGTTAGATCATTTGTTTATAGCGCGCATGGATCCGGGCTTCTTATCGGCCACAGATTTAGCAAGCATATGACGTCATTTCTTATCTTCTTACTGGAAACCTGGAAAAGACTCACATTGATTATCAGTAAACTTTCCTACCAATCCCGTACAAAGCATGGAAAAATCGATTTTTCTCCCGCGATCCATGATCTGCTCGAAGTGAAAGCTCCGATGGTCCTACGACGATTTCTCGCGTAGTGCGATGATCCGCGGTGCGGTCAATGATGAATTGCGGCCAGTCGGGCGGACGGTTGGACAGTGGCCAGGTTGCCAGGTGGCCATCGTCAGCTCTGCTCACTCCGAAATCCTCCGCAGGATAAGAATTGGTTAGACCACAAGCCGAATGTCTATCTCTGAAGTGCTCTGTCGCTTGCTCATGAGGGTTTACCTAAGTTTCTAGTAGCCCTAGGCTTTCATTCTTCTCTTTCTTTCTCTCTTTCTTCCTTCTTTCTTCCTCAGGATTTTCCCTCTGTTTCAGGAAAGTCTAACGTTTAACACATCACGTCGTGCTTATCTTCTTTTACGCAGTAGTCAGATATTGTTTTGATGGTGTTAGGAGTCTGGTGTTCTGTGCTGTTCATGTCCGTTTCCTTGGTGATCACACCGAAAACAATCGATTATTTGTATGTTTGGACAGTTTGGATCTTTTCTGATCGTCTCCCAACTCATCATGGTTCCCTTGCTGGGTTGTTATTCACCAAATCAATTCCATTTACAGATTTATAACTTGCTGAGAGGGGTCTTACAGATCTTCGATTGTTTTCTGCATCAGAAATCGTCATGGCGTTGCTTCCCATCAAATTTCATGAACATCTTCAGGTATGCTTAGTTTCAACTGTGATCTCATTACTTCTACTGCAGCTGTTTTATTATTGTGAGACCATTTCAGTTAACAAATGTAGGTATTCGCCCCCAAAATATCTGTTTTGCAAATGTCACCATGGAGTCCGACAAATTCATCGTTGTTCGTGAAATGGTAAGCTCTGAGTAGGTCCCGTTCTGCTTAATAAGCCCACTTAGACCTAGGCTTACTTAAGTCCATTCTATTCTAGATTGGAGACTCTCAGCAAGTTGTAATTATCGATCTAGTCGATCCGATGAATCCACAAAGACGACCCATATCTGCGGACTCCGTTATTATGCACCCCAGTGCGAAGATCATCGCTTTGAAATGTAAGTTGTTATCTAGTTTGAATTTGTAACATTCCTATAAATGTAGGAGGTCCTTAGCACTTTCTTCATGGTCAAACCAATGGGCTTGTAGAAGAGTTCTAGTTCAGCACAGCTCTTAATGAGCTAGTGAAGCTTTTTTCTGTTTTATCATTGTTTTCGAAATTTCTTATTCTTTTCAATAGGAATGAAAGGGTAAACCTTGACGCTGATCAATCTCTGAGAGATGCGCTATGTATTCGACTTCATTAGTCATGTTGAAGGTGATTTGAAAACACATCTCGCCTACACAATGACTCGCGGTGGTTTACCGATGGATCCAACCAGTGCTGCTATCCTCCCAGATCAGTACCAATTCGCCGACCTCGGAGGAATAGATTACTTGGTGGGCCGACGGCGTGGGCATTGACCCCAAGTGTATTGCAGGGCGCCTCCAACCACTGCACTACGTGCCGCCCTTCAACAAGAATACGCTGGGTGATTCCATGATCACGTAGTTTCCAGAGGAAAGCTTCTTCAGTGCGTTTTTTCCTCAGTTTAGAAGCCTTCAGCGTAAGCAAAGCGGGTAGTACAATAGCTCATAGTGACTCATTCCGTTGTTAACCCCTATCTTTATGTTATACTTTGAGTGGAAATTCAGTGCTAGGGACATTCATATAGTAAAATATATATTCGTACAAGAGACTATCGGTTGTAAACTATTGAGTTTTTCTCCACTCATTTATTAACAATAAGGGCGTTTAACGCAGTGGTCGGAGGCGCTACACATAAGGTCGGTCGCCGCGCCTTAGGCTCACCAAGCCTTCCATCCCTCCGGGGTCGGCAGATTGGTGCCAAACTTTTCTGCGAGAATAGCAGTGCTGGTTCCACACATCGGTAGGTCACTGGGAGTCATTGTAAAGGTCAGATATGCACTCGACCACTTCCAACGATGCTTAACTCGAGTACATGGCTTATTCTTCAGGGATTGATCAGCGCAGAACCTTTAACGTTTTTTATTTATTAGCAGGTTATCGATTGCTATAAACAAAGCGCAGAGGTTTTACCCAATTAAAATCGGCTGAAATAGTGGAATTTGTCAATTTGTTTAAACTGCTGAAGTGTTTTTGTGCAAGCGGAATTTTGACATGAAACCATGGATTGAACAAACATTGTCTGTTTAGAATTCTCCTCTGTTAAAATATTCTCTAAATCCACTACGTTTACAAGTATGTGATAGAAGTAATGCTTTCCTTCCGTAACAAACAGGGTTCTGAAGTAGAATGTTTTTTCTTTCTGTTCTCTGTCTGCATCTTTAATTTTTAGCTGGTAAAACCCTTCAAATCTTCAACATCGAATTGAAAGCAAAGGTTAAAGCTCATCAAAATGCTGAAGATATCATCTTTTGGAAATGGATCAATGAGAAAATGATTGCTCTGGTTAGCGAAACTGCGGTATATCACTGGTCGATTGAAGGTACATTTGCCCATTTGTCCTCTCGATTTCACATTCGACAGGGATTAGCATACCTTTTTCTCCTTTAAGGCGAGGCTGCACCTGTAAAAATGTTTGACAGACATCAATCGCTTGCGGGAAGTCAAATAATAAATTATCGTGCTGATTCGGAGTGTAAGTGGCTGGTACTTGTAGGAATAGCTGCAAAGGTAATTTTTGTCACATTATATCCTTTTGATGATGAGTGATTCATTTGCCGAGTGGTTGCTGATGACACCGTCGGGGTAAAAAACTGGGTGAAAGGCCAAGCAGTTGCCACAGTGTAGTGTATAACACTTTAGCCGCCGCGAAGTGTAATCACAGGTTCGAATCTGGCCTGGAGTCTGAATTTTGCAGTTATCTCAGCGTCATTGTAGTTGCGTTTCCTTAATACTCCGCATGAAAAAAGTAGGGTGTAAATTAGAAGCTAAACATTATATTCTCTTAGGTTGCATCATTGTTTTTTTAAATATATGATTAAGGAGAATCGCGTTGTTGGGAATATGCAATTGTATAGCACTGAGCGAAGGGTTTCGCAACCAATCGAAGGACATGTAGCCTCGTTTGTTCGTTTCAAAATGGATGGGAATCCGCACCCGTCTAACCTTTTTTGTTTTTCTATGAAAAACGAAGCTGGTGGAAAAGTGAGCCTTCTGATTGTATTATATAACACAAATGAGACGGAACAGTTTCGTTTCACTGTTGCGAGCTTACCAATAATACTTTCTACTTAGCTTCACGTCATAGAAGTTGGCTCACCCCCAGCCGGAAACCAACCTTTCCCAAAGAAAGCTGTCGACGTACCGTACACTGCTGAGACTGCCAACGACTTTCCTGTTTCAATGCAGGTTCATTTCGTACTTTGTTTCATATTAGTTTACAGTGTTTGCTCTTGAAGGAGGCAGACAATACCCTGTGACGATGTGGTTGTTCTCATTGTTGTGATCTATGCGTTGTAAAAGACTAGTAGGACTCCTTAGCAACGGGTTCTTATGTCCTACAAGAAAGCGGATATACGATCGAAGTATATTTGCTGATTTCACGACCTGTTCCAGGTTAATCCTTTGATTTTCTTACCTGCAGAGACTTTTCTTAGTCGTATTATTATAGCATCGTTCGATGTTGTCAGGTTTCAGTAATATATAGAGAAGTTGGAACCACCTTCGCGCAAACGAAGCGCAGTTTTCGTCTTATTGGGTTAGAGGAAAATTAGAGGTATTAGAAGAAAAAAAGTTCTATGATCAGGGAGTGTCACTCACTTTGGTGATGGGAACTTTATTAAAAGTAGTTCATTCCATATGGGGAACATTGAAGAAAACTTAGCTATGGTTTAACTAAGTGATTAATCCAGTCGGTATAGTAGTTATGCAGGTTATGATGGCATTAGTCGAAATAGCCATTACGTGCGTTTACCATGCTACTGAGTGAAATTCGATACACGTTAGTAAACATTGGGCGTCTGTGACGTAAGTAGTAATGGAAACTGTGCCGTAGGAGAACGTAGGCTGGATCGCAACAAAACGTAACGCAAGCTCAATTTTATCTATTAAGAAAACGATAACGCTTTGGTGCACAGATCTTACTTATTCAGATACTTGGATTACACGTCTTCACTGGTTGTGTGCACCCCAACATAATTTCCACTTTTTCGGAGTTTTGCTGCTTTAGCGGTTGTGGTTCCCTGGGGATCCAAGGTTAACCTAGCCAGGGTTTGGCCCGAGTCGTCACCACTACAAGCAGTAGCCGCCTTTGTGAAGCAGAGGGAGACTTGCCACCATGCGAATAGTTTGAATTGGTCTGAGTTTGATTCGACGTGGACAGTAGTGGATCCTGGTATTGGTTTACTCGAATCTGGGCTTCCTGGTGGAGATACCGGACTCCTCACCTTGTGAATCTACTGGGGGAATAAACCCGTGCTGTACATCATAGCCCACCATCCAGAAATACCTTTCAACCACAATGAGGCGGTAAACCGTTATAAGACTTTATTCCGTTGCACAGATCGTTTATTTGGAATCATATTTGAAAATCGGGGATGGTTCGGAGAAAGTTTTATGACAATTTATGGAGTTCGTTTACTATTGATTATCATTCTTTTGGAGTAGAGTCGTTTTAGACTTCGTCCAAACACGGCATTGCTTACCTTGTTACGAAGCACGGTCTCGTCCATTTATACGATATGGAATCTGGATCTCGTATTTACTCGAATCGCATTTCCACTGACACTGTTTTTGTTACATGCGAATATCAGGCTACCGGAGGAATTATGGGCATAAATCGGAAGGGACAGGTAAGTTTATCATTTGTGTGATATTTTAAACGTATGCCCTACATTACATTTTAAAGGTTCTTTCTGTATCCATTGATGAGAATAATATGATACCGTTCGTGACGCAACAGCTGCAAAATCCTGATCTGGCATTGCGACTCGCTGTTAGATGTGATTTACCAGGTAGATATTTGATGTTTGGTTGGGTATTTCTGTTGGTGTTCCAATGAGTACGTGTAGTCGGAGGCGTCTTGCAATACACATGGGATCGATCGCTGCATCCAAGACCGACCAAGCCTTCCATCACTCAGGGGTGTCAGTAAATTGGTACTCATTGTAAAGGCCAGGTATGCATTCAGTCACCAACGATGCTTGATGGAGTTGAATGCATTTCGCATCCCTAAGGGATTGATCAACGCCGATAGTTTTATTATTATTTTTTCTGTTGAACATAATCCATTTGATCAACTCAAGAGATTGAGACTAAGTGGGTCTTACACGACAATATGCTTACAGTAGGTTTCTTTAGGAGCTGAGGAGCTGTTTGTTCGTAAGTTCAACTTGCTATTCGGTAATGGTCAGTATGGAGAAGCAGCCAAAGTAGCTGCAACTGCTCCACAGGTTTTTTTTTAATTCTGAAGTTCATTGTTTTGTCATTATTAACTTGTTTTATACATAAAGTGGTACTCCAGGGAATCCTTCGCACTCCACAAACTATCCAAAAGTTTCAACAGTGTCCAACTAATCCTGGTGGTGGCGCCTCACCCTTGTTACAGTACTTTGGTATACTTCTTGACCAGGTTAGTGTAGTGGATTCATGAAGTGGCATTGCGCATATGGCTTATAATAACTTGGATTTTTTAAGGGAAAACTAAACAAGTACGAAACCCTTGAACTGTGTCGACCTGTTCTTGCACAAGGTCGGAAAGAGTTGTTGAATAAGTGGTACGCTGTTTTGTCCGTTGTTTCCATTTGTTACATATTCACTGGTGCTCAAATGTCTAGTTCTGTGGTAAATGTATCTTTCCTTTTAGGCTTAACGACCAAAAGTTGGAATGTTGCGAAGAACTCGGCGATCTCGTGCGTCCGCATGACCCTACTGTGGCTCTATCAATTTACCTTAGGGGAAACGTTCCTCATAAGGTAATTTTCGCTATTGGTTGGAATGAATGGTGTAAAGCTCATACCGACATAAGTGTATTTGTATACGTGTGTTTCGCATTGCAAAGAATATTGAATGAACCCTGTCATTAGCCTGATTTATAATGGCTCATGTTATTGTGTAGTAACAAATGACCATATTTCAGGTCGTTCAGTGCTTTGCAGAAACGGGTCAATTTGATAAAATCATTTTGTACGCTAAGCGAGTTGGGTTTGAGCCAGATTATTTGTTCCAATTGAGACAGGTTCGCGCAATTTTGTCTGCTTATCATTACGATAGATTTAAGAAAAAGAACAATAATCGACGTATAACAGATCTTGCGTTCTGGAAACCAGGAGGCTGGTTCGAAATTCGCACAGATGTTGGTTTCTGAAAGTGAAAATGGGGAGCCATTAGCCGACTTAAACCAAGTGAGCATTGAGTTTCTGTCGTTTTATCTAGAATCAGCTTATCAGATATGATTCTGGTAAAAGACGAATTTTTAAATGGTGGTTCTCTTATTCAAACTCCTTTCCGCTACAGATAATTGACTGCTTTATGGAAGTTCAAGCAGTCAAGCCGTGCACATCGTTCCTGCTTGAGGTGCTTAAAGGGGACAAACCCGAGGAAGGCCATCTACAAACACGCCTTCTCGAGATGAATTTGCTCGCTGCCCCGCAAGTACGTAGTCACACTGATGTCGTCACGGCCGTCAGTTTTCTTTTTTAATGAAAAATCTATTTGTTTTAGGTTGCGGATGCCATCCTTGGAAATAAGATGTTTAGTCACTATGATCGTCCTCAAATAGGACAACTTTGCGAGAAAGCAGGATTATTACAGCGTGCTCTCGAGCATTTCACCGATTTGTACGATATAAAGCGTACTGTTGTGCACACTACTCATTTCAAGGCTGATGTAGGTTGTTGGAGATGTAATATATTTAGAGTTTCTATTACGTTGTTTGTTTTCGAACTAATCAAAGGAATAAAGCACTTTTTTCAGTGGCTAGTCAACTATTTTGGTTCTTTGTCTGTAGACGACTCTCTCGAATGCCTTAAAGCGATGCTTACCCAAAACATTCGGCAAAATCTGCAGGCAATTTTTACTTGTTTCTAGCGCTTTATTTTTGTCCTTTATTTTTCTACCTGTAATACTTGAAGGCTCTTGTTGTCAGGTCGTAGTCCAGATTGCATCGAAATATCATGAGCAGTTGGGAACTGATAAGCTAATTGATATGTTCGAGACGCACAAGAGTTATGAAGGATTGTTTTATTTCCTGGGTTCTATCGTAAACTTTAGCCAAGATCCGGAAGTGCATTTCAAGTACATACAGGTGTGGTTCCTTTGAGATGTTTATATTAATTGTGATTGTATGTGACTGTGGCATATAATATTTATGGAGTGGTTGTTAGAAGGTTGCTATTTTGACACAATGATACCACATAAGAGGATGATAAGCGGAAGTATTATGAGCCATTCAAGGCTGCCACTCGAACAGGACAGATCAAGGAAGTGGAACGTATTTGCCGAGAGTCAAATTGTTACGATGCGGAGCGAGTCAAAAATTTCCTTAAGGAGGCAAAGTTGGCGGATCAAGTGTGTTACATTCTTGATAGACTTTTCCTTCTCTCGTTCTGTCTGTTGTACCAATGAAAATGATTTCAGTTACCATTAATCATCGTTTGCGATCGTCACGACATGGTTCACGATCTTGTCCTTTATTTGTACAGGAACCAGCTTCAAAAATACATTGAAGTATTCGTGCAGAAAGTGAGTTTCATAACGATAGAAAACGAAGCTATGAAGCGAGTAGGTACTAGAAAGAAGGATAGAAATCGTTTATGAAACGAATAGGTGCTAGAAAGCAAGGTATAGTAACTGCCACGACCGACTTTCTATTAACCTCGGCATTGATCAAGTGATTTTGTTCGTATTTTTGTTGAGCAAACGCGAGGTGTTATTATTCTTTGTTCACGATTTATACTAAGTATACTTAGTGGAAACCTCATAGGAAGCGGCTCTGAGGAAGGCGAAATCCGCCGAAACGTCAGCTTAATCGTGAACAAAGAATAATAACACCTCGCGTTTGCTCAACAAAAATACGAACAAAATCGCAAGGTATAGTGTTTAAGTGGTCCTCGTTCAGGTTAACGCTGCCCGTCTTCCTATTGTTGTCGGAGGTTTACTGGATGTTGACTGTTCTGAAGACGCAATCAAACAGTTGATTCTCAATACTCGTGGAAAGTTTGATATTGATGAACTGGTAGCAGAGGTGGAGAAGCGAAATAGGTAAAGTTCCCCAGTCTTCTTTTTTACCTGACAAATCCATGTAAGATCCTTTGTAGATTGAAACTACTCTCTCATTGGCTCGAAACGCGTGTGCAAGAGGGTGCAACCGACGCAGCAACCCATAACGCAATGGCTAAGATTTATATTGATGCGAATAACAACCCAGATCGGTTTCTGAGGGAAAATCCATTCTACGATAGCCGAGTTGTTGGAAAGTGAGGCACTTCGTGAATGCTTTTTGACTTTCCCGTATTTTTTTATTAATCAATGTTTAAGGTATTGTGAGAAGCGTGATCCTCACTTTGCTTTTCTGGCATATGAACGTGGTCAGTGCGATGCTGAACTAATTGCTGTGTGTAATGAAAATTCTTTGTTTAAAAATCTCGCCCGCTACCTTGTTCGTCGCCGTGATTATGCATTGTGGGAACAAGTGCTGAATGAAGATAACCAGTACAGAAGGCAACTCATTGACCAGGTGAAAACCGTTCAATATGTCTGCTACAAAATTGGTTGCGCTCAGAAACTAATGGGTTTAGAATAATAAAGGTAGAGGTTTCGTTCTTAGCAAGGTATTCTTCATATTATAATGGAAGAAATGATTAGTGGGAATCTCTGTAATCAGGTCTTGCTTAATTCCACTAAACATTCCTTTTTTGAGGTCGTGCAAACAGCTTTATCGGAAACCCAGGATCCTGAGGATATATCTGTGACTGTAAAAGCATTTATGGCGGCAGATCTTCCGAACGAACTCATTGAGTTGCTTGAGAAGATTGTTCTTGACAATTCTGCATTCTCAGAGCACCGTAATCTTCAAAATCTCTTGATTCTGACAGCTATGAGGGTAATTTGAGTTGTGCCAAATGATGTGTAATTTCGTAGTAAGACCATCCTAGTAATTCCTGTGCTCAGGCTGATCGATCGAGAGTGATGGAATATATCCAAAAACTTGACAATTACGATGCGCCGGACATTGCGAATATAGCAATTTCAAGCGAGTTGTACGAGGAAGCTTTCGCTATCTTCAAGAAGTTCGACGTCAACAACAGTGCCATTAACGTCCGCGTTTTACAGTACTTGTATTTCTTGTTAGAAAGTCTTTAGCTAGACTTATGGTTTAGGTACTCATCGATAACGTTTCAAATTTGGACCGAGCCTATGAATTTGCTGAGAAATGTAACCAATCGGACGTTTGGGCTAGCTTGGCAAAAGCACAACTGAAGCAGGACATGGTGAAGGAAGCCGTAGATTCGTTCATTAAGGCTGATGATCCAGGAGCTTACATGGAAGTCGTTAACAAATGTTCTCAGACAGGTATGTCCTCAGTGCAAAAAAAAGCAAACTTAATCTGTATTTCCATACGCAATATGTTCTGTGTAGAGCACTGGGAAGATCTTGTGCGCTTCCTTCAAATGGCTCGTAAGAAGTCTCGTGAGTCCTATATTGAGACTGAACTCGTCTATGCGTTAGCCAAGACTGGACGATTGACCGAGTTGGAGGAGTTCATTTCCGGACCAAACCATGCACAAATTGGGCAGGTTCGCCATTTTAGTTAGCACATTTGTATTGGTTGGAAGTACATCTATGAAGAGACAGGCGGATTTAGATTGGCGACCGTTGCTTTGATAATGGAATGTTCGAGGCCGCAAAAATACTGTTCAACAGTATTTCGAACTTTGCGAAGTTATCAGTTACGCTTGTTCGACTCGGTGAATATCAAGGCGCTGTCGATGCTGCTCGAAAGGCTAACAGCACTAAGACTTGGAAGCAGGTTTGCGCTTTTCTTGAAATATCATTGACTCAGTTTTCAAGAAGGTTGGAAAAAGAATGCCTGGTTAGAGTCCATAGGAAACACGAGTTTGAATCCTTTTGCTATCTAGTTAGAATGAGTTCTCTGAAATCAGTTGAGTTGGAAAAACAGTCACATGAAATAAGCAGAGCAGTCAAATAGTGTAATGTTTCGTTCGTTTAGGTTTGCTTTGCATGTGTGGAAAATGGCGAGTTCCGTTTGGCGCAAATGTGTGGTTTACACATTGTGGTCCACGCCGACGAGCTTGAAGAGTTAAATAATTTCTACCAGGATCGTGGTCATTTTGAAGAGCTTATCGGTGGGCGATTCGTCGAAATAGGGCTTTCATTTATAAATTAAATGACCAGTATTTCCAATTAATGGTGAGCCCATTAAATCCATCGGGTTTTAGGACTTCTGGAAGCCGCACTAGGACTGGAACGCGCTCATATGGGAATGTTTACCGAGCTTGCTATTCTTTACAGCAAGTATAAACCAGAGAAAATGCGTGAACATCTTGAGCTGTTCTGGAGTCGCGTCAACATCCCAAAGGTGCTACGGGCCGCTGAACATGCTCATCTTTGGGCTGAACTGGTTTTCTTGTATGATAAATATGAAGAGTTTGACAACGCTGCTCTCACTATGATGCAACATCCTACGGAATCATGGCGAGAACAGCACTTCAAAGAGGTCATTGCCAAGGTAAGTGGAGTTATTTTATCATTCGTTTTACCGAACCTTCGCTTTTGATGCTTTCGTTTTGTTTAGGTTGCCAATGTTGAGCTGTATTACAAAGCTATGCAGTTCTACTTGGATTATAAGCCTCTGCTTATCAACGACCTCCTCGCCGTGCTCTCCCCTCGTCTCGATCACTCGCGAACTGTACAGTTCTTCTCTAAATGTATGTTCTCTGCACACGATGTAACTATTACGTCAGTCAAACCCGCCCGAGTGCACTTTGAGATACCTTACTGCACGCACACATCACCGTCGTCCTGAACAATATTCTATGTGTTATTTTTCACGTACGGTAATTAAGCGGTCGCAAAGGGAAAATTCGCGTAAATAGCACTTGTAGTAGTTCTTAATGTGTAGAGAGTAGGTTTTCTCAGGCCATGTCATATGGGATATCTGTGCAAGGGAAGCAACCAATTTCATACAATCGCTACAATGCGTTCAGTCGTGAAAATGTTTACGTCCTTCAACTTCGAGCAAGCATATCATAGTGCAATGTCTTCTTTCTTTTTTAGCGAAGCTGTTATCTAAAACTGTGAAGCGACTGGTTAAATTAGGTTGCATCCAGAGAAGCGTGAGAATGGTTTCCTATTGCACTATTCATTTTTGTGGCTACTTCGCATGCGTTGACAATTTTAAATTCCTTACTTTTTCAATTTCAAAAAAGTTTGACAAGCAAACAATTTCAAACAAATAATATAAAACTTTTACGGTAGTGCGAGGTATCTTTTACTGGTCTGTCTACTTTTCAATTACCTAAGCGTGTTAGTTATTCAAAAGTCTTCATTTGGCAAGAGGAAAGGTGTTATCGCGAGAGTGTTCACAGAAAAAAAGACGCGCAGAAGAAAAAATTTGTGCTGCAAACGATACAATTCAAAGAAAAATGCACTGAAATCAGGTGCGTAGTTTTCGAAACAGAGCAGATTTAACCTCAGTATGAATAGTCAATATCTCTTAGGGTTATTGAGTTTACAAGAGGTTGTTGTGAAATTTCGTATCATCCAGAATCCTTTTGTTGCGCACGCATTGTAACCAATACGTATGGTCGCAACTATGTTTTGCTGAACAGAAGTAGAAAGATATGTTTTATAAAGTTTCATTCGAGTGAATTTCTTCCAACCATCTCGAAATTGGTTCGTTTTCTTTCATTGGTTGAGTTTGCTTTAATCTAGGCTGTTTTAGTGAAGCATATACCACTGATAAAACCTTACCTGAAACAAGTGCAAAATCTGAACAACAAAGCAATCAACGAAGCACTTAATCAGCTTCTCATCGATGAGGTATGTTCTCCTGTTTTTTTTTAGCACTGAATGTTTTTCTTCTGTATAAATGCATTTAAGGAGGACCATAGTGGTTTGCGCGCTTCCATCGACTCACATGACAACTTTGACAACATTTCGCTGGCACAGCAATTGGAAAATCATCCATTGGTGGAATTCAGGCGGATTTCAGCATACCTTTTTAAGGGTAATAATCGATGGAAGCAATCTATAGAATTGTGCAAGAAAGACAAACTGTATAAGGTACTTCACCTTTAGAAACTTTTCACTGCATCCGAAGATGATCAAACATCTTTTCGTTTCTTATAATGTTTCACATTTTAATTTGTAGGATGCTATGGAGTACGCTGCTGAGTCGAGGTCAAGTGAATTGGCCGAAGAGCTCATCGCATTCTTCCTCGACCAGCGTCTGTATGAGTGTTTTGCAGCTGCTCTCTACCATTGTTATGACCTATTGCATCCACACGTTATCCTTGAATTAGCCTGGAAGAATAAAATTACTGATTACGCGATGCCATACATGGTTCAAGTGTTCAGAGATTTCCAGCATCGCGTAAGTTAAGCGATATTCTTCGAACTAATAGGCATTAAAGAATTTTCGTTTATCTTCAGTTGGAACGTTTGGAACGTGCAGAAGCAGAAAGAAAGGATGAGCAACGAGAACAGCAACAACAAAATGGCATTACTAGTTCGTTTAAATTTTCTGTTATGCTTTCTTCGTGGCGAGTGAAGCCGCTTAGTTTTGCCCTATATATATCATATGTTTTATGCACTGCTTATTTCACCAAATTATTTTCTAATGCACACGCAGCAATTTACATCAAATCCCGTGATTACGTAGCCGAAAGCAATTTACTTTATCACTTTTAACACATTGATGATGATGCTTGTTTTTGTCTGACGACAGTGTGGAGCGACTAGTGTTTGTTGGCTTGAGCTTCTTTCTCGATAACTAGCGTAATAAACATGAGTAGCTTACCGGGTTTTTTTTTGTGAGCAGACGCAACAGTGTTACTGCAGTGTTTATTGCACGATAGCCGACGTTTCCACTGATTTCCGATCCTTCAGATCATAGGTGGGAAAGTAAGGTTGGTGTACAATTTGATGAGCAAAACACTCCCATAACCTCTACAGAGTGATTTGAAACCTAAATTTCAATCGCATTAGAGGAAACTTGTTCATACGCTCACCATTTTCTGCTGTCTTCCACTTATTCTTATTATTGGTGAGGCGCAACGGCACAGAGTTTACGTGGATGGGTAATAAGCACTGCCGATATCAAAATATCCGCTTGAGATATTGTGTGAGATCAGGCACGATAACGAGCGGAGAGAAATAACATTCTCTGCGGTTTATTTTCGGATTATTGGAACTTATTCGGAATGTTCCGAGGGTGTTACGCGTTGAAGTCAAGATTCCTGTGAGAGGATGGCGATTCCTACTTCAAAATCTTCTCCGTCACGTTTCTGTGTCTTTTGCGTGCCTAATGGAGTATTTTGTTTAATTTAAGTGGTTGTATGGTTTCAGATACGGTGTACCTGATCTCTTATAAAGCTTGAGGGATGAATACATTGCGAAACGAAAGAAAAAAATGAAATTTTAGGTTTCGGGTTTCTCTGTATAGCTTACAGAAGTATTTGACTGACTATGTTGCACATCATCTTCATCGTTCGAATGTCAGGAACGTGAACTTTGAGCATCGATGGGTGCCACCATTGCCTAAGGATCGTGAAATAAACGTTGCAGTAATAACCTCCTATTTACTCATCGAAAAAACACTAAATTATGGATCAGTGCCGCGATTAACAGAAAGTCGACCCCGGAAGTTAAAATTAAATAGTTTACAACTTTGCAGATTTACACATAGAAGAGACCCTACTCTGTCGGCTTAATGTTATGGTTTATTTTTCATAAAACAGTCGCCTAACTTTAAATTCATTATTAAAGTCTTCAGAAAATTAAGAATAAATCTTTAATTTCTAACATTTTCTCCCATGCAAGACACGACATCTGAAAAGGACCGATTATCATGTATATTCGGAAATTTTTGTGTCTTAAACGAAAAACCGGTTTATTCAATGCCTTTGCGCTACATAGTAATGTATTGGACGAAAAAAGCAAGAAGAACGCGATTTGTAGGACCCAAGAAGCAGATTTTTGTCATTATAGAGGAAGGTTGCGGAAAAAATTAGAAGTGTATTTTGTTGGCAACGTTTATTAGAGATGAGTTTGATTTCACTGACTTAGGTTTACTATCAATTAGAACATATTTGCACAAGGCAGGCATATGAGTCTCATACGACTCATGTCTGAGCTAAAATTTTAGAGAATTATGGCTCAAAATCAGTTTTTAATTGAAATAAGAGCAGTTCCTATAAATCATTGTCAAAAAAGGTGCGTGTTTTATTTTACTAGTGCGATGAAATTGAGGTTTTTTAGGGCCCATAAGTAGTTTTTTTCCCCTAGAGCTACACGATGATGTCTGCCAGCACTATTGATATTTATGGTTGCGGTGCATCCATGTTTTCAGGCTTTGAGTCTTGTATTCGTCCTTCTGGAACATTAGATGTTGAACGAACTTCGATTTAAATGTTTCCGAACAATTATGCATACCGAAAAGCCTCTTCTATAAGTTTATCACGTTATGGGCTCTCACTAGCCCTCACTTAATCCGCCCTCTTGCAAATGCGTTACGTGTTTACCACTCTTAACTGTGTAAGGTGTTTAAAACTTTCTTACACTTACTAAATATCAGAAAAATAGGATTTAATGTGGGAAACATGTTTAGAATAAACTATGTTCTACGTTATATTTACACGTTTACATACACTGTTCTCTAAAAGTGAGGAATTTCAGTGGAGCCACAACTTATGATAACGTATGGTGGTCCAATCCCTTCGATGAGCTATGGTGCTCCGAACCAATATGTTCAGCCACAGTTCGTCCCACAGCCACCGCATGGTGTTCCGGGACCCTTCATGTGATTTTGTTAAATTGTGGCGTGTCATTCTACCACGCGATTTTTACAGCTCTGCATTAGTTGTTGCGAGGAAGACGAATAAGTGCGAATAGGTTTCATAATGTTGAGTTCCCTTTGTTTCTCTAGTTTACAGGTTGGATGCGTTTCCACTCGGTTCCATCTATAAAGTAAGCATCTATATTTTCCATGAATACTTTATAAATTATTAACAGAATGTGATCGTTTTTTTTGTTGTGTATATTCTGCGCGTCTGGAAGGTTGATGATCCTAACCTTACCTAATTGATTGTACCTTCGATAATTGTTTCAGATGTATTTATTTAAATCTTATTGTCTACAAATATTTTATAAACATTCATAAAGTTTTAGTGTCTTTATGTATGAAGTAATAATACATCACCTGTCATCCTGTTGATCGTTGAGTGACTCCAGTGGACGCCAGTAAATCTCCGATTTCTCTCTGTCGCGCGTAAGAGTAGTCTAATGGGTTCTGTTCACTTTAGGGACACGTTGAGCATCGTATCCTTATAGGGTTTTTGTGAAGATCTTTGACTATCAGGTCAGTGGTCTTGTTGCAGTATGTTTCACATCCCGAGAAATCCAACCAGACTCTAGTGGCTGTTGTCCATCGATTGCCAATTATAAGCATCACGTGTCTGGTCGATCGAAGGCAGTTTAGTGTGTAGAACGGCGTCTTTGATTCTTATTCGCAGAAGTAGATCGGAACTTTGTTTCCCACACTTGCGTGATAAAAGAGAGTCCTAGCATCGTCCTCGACTGCGCGTTCGATAACGCAGAGTGACTTTTCATCCTGTTTACGCAGCGACCAGGTTTCTGACACATAAGTCAACGCAGGAATTACCGTTGAGCAAAAATGTGTGCAAGAAGTGGGGTGTTCTTTGTTTTCCACACTGCGCGCCATTCTATTGGATGCTCCCCAGGCCGCTCGTTTCCCTCTGCTCAGCTCTGGAGCTAAGTCATTCATCATATTGATTTCCCGACCTAGATAGACATAACTGGAGCATTCGGAGATATTCGCTCCGTTGAGCGTGAATGGGGCATGCGAAAACAATCCGTTCCTCATAAACATCGCTTTTGAGAGATTTAGTCGAAGAGCAGTCTTTCCACAGCCTCTATCAAAGTCGTTAAGCATACGTTCCGATTGGCTAATGTTTAGTGTTATAAGAACGATATCGTGTACAAAGTGAAGATGGTGTAATTGCCGTCAATCGATTTTTACTCTCATGTTGTCCCATTCCAATATTCGCATGACGTTCTCGAGGGTGGCGGTGAATAATTTTGGCGAGGTGGTATCGCCTTGCCTGACCCCTCCTTTGATGTGGATGTTAACACCGTTGTAGAATGGTGATATTTTGGCTGTGAAGCTGTTATATAATTCAAGAAAAATCTTTGTGTAATGAGCAGGGACTTCCGAGCTGTACAGGGCTTCCATGATTGCTTCTATCTCAACTGAGGCAAGCGCTTTCCTTAAATCGATGAAAGTTAGGTAGAGCGATCTTTTTTACTCTCGCGATAGTTCAATGAGTCCTGTTATCGTGTGGATCTGGTCCGTCGTACCGAATATTTTCGAAATCCTGCTGCTCTCATGACTGTTCTTTGTTAATATTCAGTTAATCCTATTTAGGATGACTCGAGTGATTAGTTTGTAGATGACAGACAGCAAGTGAGCTAGGCGATAGTTGTCGATATCGTGGAGGTGCCTGTTCTTGAACAACCTTGTCTCGGTTTTGCTGGTCTTCCATTGGATAGGAAGTTTGAATTACAGCATGTAACGTGCAAAGAGCCAAACCAGTGTGTTCACGATGATTGGCGGATGGTTCCTCAGGTGTTGGGATCTTGTCCTGTCAGGACCTGGTGTTGATCGATTCTTCACCGGCGGAATAGCATGTCGGATTTTGAAAGGGTGTATCGATGAGACGATGTATCAAGTCTTATTTATTTCATATGAGGTGCAGGAGGACGCCACTAATGAAGAGATGAAGTTTTGTTACTGACGAGGTTTCGGTGGTTTTTGCGAATGCTTTTCCCAACCTCTGGCAGCTTCGATCATTACTGCTGCTCTTCCCTCATTAAAATCTTTCTCCATTCTGTAGTGTTTTCCAAGTTTGGAAGTAACTTAGCGGTTGCTTGCAGCTCGTCCGATTCCACATTACACGCTGGCATATCAGCTCGTGTGTTTCCGGAGACAGACGTCTGTTGGTGACTTTCAAACTCTCAGCTTTCATAACCCTAACTTGAAGATGTTGAATGAGCCGATCGTATCCCTCTTCGCTGTTATCAAGCACGGCATCTTCCCAACAGCCGACTACTGAATTAAAAAAACCCCAGTTTGTGGTAGTTTTGAGCCTTCGTTTTTTTGAATTTAGCGGCTTTTTCTTCTTTCCACGAGAAAAGAAATCTTACACGAAAGAGGCGATATTCTGATCCCGTGTAAAATTTGGGAACCACAGCCATATCGGTTAGGCAAAACCTATTTACTATGACGTGGTCTATTTCGTTATGGCACTTCCATTGGGAGACTTCCACGTCCAGCGCTGAGGATGGGGCTTTTCGAATTGCGAGTTACTATGGTCTTGGTCATCATGATAAACTCAGACAGCCGCTCACTCTGCCCGTTCCATTCTAATCCACAAGTCCCAATGTGACGTTCTTCAGACGTTCTTCTTGGTCCTATATTGGTGTTGAAATCTCCAATAATGACCTTGAGGAATGTATGGTCTTCTCTGTAGAACTTCTCCAAGTCTATATAGAGCGCTTCGGCTTCTTCGTCATAGTTTGATGTCGGTGCGTAAACGACGAAGATTGTCAAAGTCGGTATTGATCCACATCTTTTTAATCGTAAGCGTCCGATTCGGGTTGTAAGCTGTTCGAGTGAATCGATGTTCATGGATAAACTTGTGTTGACGAGAACGCCGACGACGCTAACTCTTCTACTGTCGCATGTTCCGAAATATCATAGAACGTGTTGATTTGGTAGCGTAGTCCGATGATGTGATACCTTTCTTTCTAGCTTGCATGATCCAGTCCTGCATCGAGTACTCAAATGCAAGTGAGCGAGCATTGTGGGTAGTGATCGTCACCTTGGTCATTTGCGATTTGGGTTGCCTAGAGTGGTCCTTAGACTTTAACAACCTCCCATACTCGTCCTACCCAAGGCTACGGTTTCGTGCCTCTTTCGAGGTAAAGGGAATGAGGCGTTGTTATTTTGTTGTGTTTAGCAGTTGATATCCACGTATAGCTTGCTGAGCTCTGAACGTAGGATCTGAGTATACTCATTGGTAGCTGATTCGTAATCAGCGATGAAAAAATGCTCATTGTGAGCCTTTTGTTTCCCGATGAAATATTCTTAGGAGCTTACAAAGATAGTCGTCCATGAAAACATGGGAAATGCCTTGGTATTGTATGTGCAATGCAAGCTGTATTTAATATGGCGCTGTGAGTGCGTCATCTCCATGTAGGAGTCCTCTGTGCAAACAGAGACTTCAGCTCATCATTTGGTAATCGACGATTCTGCTAAAACACGTGCTACCTAGCGACCATCACATGGCAGCCTTGTCCTCCACAACTGCTTAGCAACAGGAATAAGTTGCCGAAATTAGAAAACGTCTGAAAATACTTCCGCGTGGTGATGTAGAAACGACCTTCATTATGGAGAATAGGATTGGAACACTGACGAACTTGAAGAAGCATAAAAAGAAGTGGTCGATAAGAGCAGCCGAGTGACGCTGTAAAGGACGAATCAGATCCAATTCTACGATGGTAGTAACAGTATGCGTGTATGGTGTGCGTGGTTGCACAGAGGAAGCAAGTTCTGTTAACCTAGATTTCTACCAAGCTGGATATCTCACCGTCTGTATTACATCAGCAAGATGGAGTGTTCGGTAATTGGACTCTTTGAAATCCGTTGAACTCTATTCTCTCTTTAGGGACAGTATTTTTGGAGGTAAAACATTATTAAAGGTGAAGGTTGAGTCAAGCGAATGAATTACACATGGAAGCCAATTCTTTGAGGAACTGGACAATTCGATTATGAAGTAGAACGTATACTAGAAGGAAGCTATGCTACGCTATTTGTCTGAAGGATTTCTCTATAATCATAGTCCTTCTGCTCAGTTTGATGAGTTGGCCGATGTCACACAATAAAGAAAGTACTTGGTCACAGCCAAGGTTACGTCCTGCGCGATCGTTCTCGGCTGTGCGTAGGAAAACAAGCTCAGCATACATTTGAAAACCGATCTTCAGTTAACTCAGGAATTAATCGATAAGTAATGTCGTGGTAGGAATTCTCATTGGTGAACTGATATGAGGTTGTCAACAGGTTTTTTGAGGGCTGCAGTATACAGCTGCTACAAACTTTTTTGACGAGCGTTTTTTATGTGAAGAGACGAGGGTAACAATAATGAACTATTATGTTTCTATCATCTGACTTTGCTTACCATGTTTTCATGTAACTACTCTTGATTTGGACTCTCGGGAACGGAATTTAGTTCTGTTTCGGTTTTATCTGGGCGAATTTTGTATACTCTGAGTGTCCATCGATCGAATCAAAACACTTGTACACGTCCTTCCACGTAGAACAGCTGAGGAAACAATCACTGTTATATCTACAACAAGCTGTGTACAACACAAAATTGCAAGATTTGCCCTAACGACAGAGAGGCATGTTGGTACCAGACCCGTCTGTGATGACAGCAGCACTTGGTATATTGCTATGCCATCACTGTATAAGACAGATATGCATTCACCTCTAGGATCATGCGCTTGGCGATGAATGCATGTCCCATCCCTCTGGGATTGGTAGACGCTGATAGCTTAATCTTTTTCTCAACCAGATGGGCATAGGACACAGAAGAGTGGGAGGGATGGGAGATGATTATTGTAAAGTTAAGATGATGATCCCAGTGCAAGAATCAAAACTGTCAACTAGTAAGACTCCCAAGGAATTTTGAGTAAATTTCAAGAGTCCAAAAATCTGACTAGGTTTTACCTACTACCCTGCGTGAACACTTGAAAAACGTAAGAATGAGCTGAACTCATTAGAAAAAAGAGCTGATGACAGGAAACGATGAGTATGTTCAAAGTTTCTACTTACTCATCGAGGTTATCAAACTGCTTTGCCGAATACCTGTACATATTATTGTAATGCTTTCGTCACTGGACTTTGACGAAGACGAGGTTATCGAGACGTTAGTTATTGAAAAACGTATTGATAACCTCTTACCAGTCCAACAAAGACAAGTGAAAACAAAATAACGCAGGATGCATTGCTTGTGCTTGAAGTGATTGCCTCGCAATCTGGAACTCTACCTACTCATGTCAACCTCCGACCATTTTCATGTTCTTGCCAACCACTTTAAAGAGAAATCCAGTGGTCGCAAATTACGAGGGTTATAGACGAGAAAGGAGAATTGTCTTAAGATCCTAGTTTAAGTTCCAGTCTTAAGCTTCCAGTTTACGTCCAGTCATCAGTTTCCAGTTTAAGTCAATTAGTCACAGTTTTCTTCTTCCGATCATAAGGTTGTGATCGATCTTCGCATGATTCGTGTCGTTAGATGACATTCGCGTTCAGCGGTAATTCTCTTTCTTGAAAAATGAATTTCCATAGAAGAGATGTGGATTGAGGAGCAGTCCAACAAGACAGTTTGCCTTATCATTTTAATTTTATTCCATTTCAAGTTTTTCGATTCAGCATTAACTTTCTCTGGTATTTCCTTGTCCTTCAAGCGCACAAATTTATAGAAAGGACTTCAAATGCCCACCTCTTGAGCTGAGCTGATAGCACGAGTAATAGATGGATTTGTTGTAAAGTCTACAATGCCGACATTTCATGACGTGACCTTTTCTCCAAATATAGTACGGGCCGTATTATTTGCATGGAGTCAGGGTAGCGCTTCTATAAATATAGCGGCCAGATGTTTCGAGTAACTTCCTGCGGGATAAATGAGTCATGATGATGAAGAGGTTGATGACGTCCATTTAGCATTCAACAGCTATCATCTGATGGTGACAAAGCTGTCCCTAAGAATACTGCTTCAGGGATTTCTCAAGACGTTACGAAGTCCGGTTTCTCTGCCTAAGTTATGCTCTAGAACGACAATTGTCCCCATTAAATTGTAATATATGATGGAAGTTTGCTCTTATATGACAACACAGCATTTGGGAACGTAATTTCACGAAGGTGAAGCTCTTAGATACTTCTCAAAGCCAAAAGATATGACAACTGTTCAGTGGTTTGCAACTGATGTGTACGTATCCGGCTTTGGTGAACAGAAAATGTTCAAATAGGTACAGAAAAAAGGAAAGGTCCATGACAATGACACAGGTTGTAGATCCAACGTGGCAGGGGTTGGACAACTTTGGCAAATCAACTATCACTCTTTCCAAACATTTCGACGATATTCGGCTGCGAAAATCTTTAACAATCAACCACTACAGAAAATAGTTTGAAATTTTGTCGCCTCCAAAACTTCAGAAAAGGATAAAAAGATAAAGCACTCGCTGATGACCAATCTCCGAAGTATGAGGTATGCATTCGGCTTCATCTAGCATGGTCAGAGGTAACTGCATGCATATCTGGCCCATAAAATGACTTGTGGTGACATACCGATGTATTCAAGTAGTGGATATCCACCCTATCTTTTCCTCCCAGACAAGGCTGGTGCCAATCTGTCGACCATAAAGGGGCGGAAGATTTCGCGAGCGCGGCGACTGGGATAGACCAGCGATCGATCCACTCTGTATAGCAGGACACCTGTAACCAGTGCGTTACACGCCCACAGAACTTCAGAGTTTTGTTTTATCGGAACATGTAAACTTGTAGAATGTTGGCAAAGACATGTAAATTCTAAAGAGCTCTTACTTTTGATTGCTTAGTAGTTTATGTTCTAGCTGAATTATAGATTTTCAGTGTAGTTGTTCATTCAAAATCGGCAATTTTTAATCTTCAGCAAATATTTGTCGTTGGGCCCTTATCTATGACTCCGCCCCATGTATCACACCACCCCGCCATGTCAAGGACTCTTCCAGAAATTGTTACTTGTAACGAGATCGTTCTGACATATAATCGCAGCTACATTGTACTGTTGTATTCTATAATATTAAGTAGCTTTGTTGAACCCATATTCTGTTGATCGATTTGGTTCACAGCGTTCATGGTTCGTTCGTGCAGTCTGCAACCGAAATCTTACTCGACATCTAAGAAACTACACAAACAGTAAGTCTATGAGACATCTCGGAGAGAACGGTTTCTGATTTTAGAAGTACTGTATACGTTAGAGAAAGAGCATGAGTAACGTGGATCAATTTCACCATAGTTGTAATCCATAGCTCACTCTTGATGCCTGTGATGGACACGCCCATCGGTGGGCACACCAAGGAAACCTACTCGCCTTCTTAGTACCGTATCATCTCAAAAATTACGTCGTTCGTTGCGCATAAATCTTTAAATATGTGGATAGAGCATGTTTAAAAGTGTTTATTACGAAATAATGCCAAGGTAATAACTTGTTTTCATAAAAATATTCAGTCTGGTTTAGTTCTGAAACGTTCCAGTAGAAATGTAGGAGCCCTCAGTGGTGCAGTGGAGAACACGTGAGCTCTCGGGGAAGATAATTCGAGTTCGAGTCTGGCCTGGGGACGAGGTTTTGCAAATATCTCAGCATCATAGTAATTGTACTTCTCACCACATCCTGCCGTCAAATGTAGCAATAGGTAGTAAACAAAAATAAACTTTCCAGTCATGCATATCTAAAGTTTTATATGCTCAACTTGAGCACATTTAGATGTATTTGTTTAAAAAATAAGTTAGAAAAGCTGCAGAAACATCAAATGAGTCCTATTTTTTTGTTCGATAGTGAAGAATTCACATAAACCTGTTTCATTCCAGAAATTGTTAACATGCTCAATTCAAAAAATATGACTCAATCGTAGGGTAGATAACATTTTCTTCCCAGTTTATCGTTCTGGTGCGATTTGACGTTTTCTCAAACAATTCATTTTAATTCGATTATGCCGATTTGTGGCTCCCAGCTATCTTTTCTGGATAACGTTTTCTTCCAGAAGCATAAGAAGTGTTCCCGATCCCATTGTTGCGGTCTCGTCCGAGAGTATGGTGGACTGTTGTCGGCAGTTATGGCTGTTGACTTGCAAAAATCTCATCCTGACATGGCGAAGTAAAGTATGGGCGTTGTTCGAACTGGTACTGCCTGTTCTGTTCACATTACCGATAACCATATTGATTGCTAAGGTGAGTTCGTTTTATTCTTTGCTGTTCACCCTTATCCCTATTTTAATGTTTTATGTTTGCATCTTACTTACTTACTTGGATGCTTCGATGGCCCATCTTCACAGTTGTGCGGGCCCCAGCATAATTTCCATTTGTCATCTTTTCGGAGTTTTGCTGGTTTAGCTATTTTCGTTCCGTCGAGTCCCAAGGTCAGCCTAGCCAAAGTCTGCCTCAGGTCGTCACCACTACAGGCAGTTGCTGCTTTTGTGGGTAAGGGGAGATTTCCTGCCATGCGCGACTAGTCTGATACCAGAACGATGGTGGATCCTGATACTGATTTATTCTTAGCTGATATTGCTGTTGCAAACTCTGGACACCTCAGCTTGGGAGGCCGTGCTGGAGGATAAATCTCCCCACTGTACATCGCAGCCCGAAACCCAGGAACACCTCCCAGCCATGATGAGGCGGTAAACCGTTGGGAAGACTATGCATCTTACCGCTCATTATCTTCGTTTTTTTTTTTGAAGTTTTTTGAAGGACGTTATGTTAAAACGTTCACTGAGTTCTTACCAACTCTGTATCTCAATATAATTTTGACCTTACCATTTTGTATCTTAAAATTAAACGATGGCTTAATGCTTCCTTTTCAGACTGGCACAGTGCAGTTATCTCCAGGGAGATCGTTCGATGCTCTGCCAATAAAGGGTGACGCAAGTGATATTCCGCGGAAGATAGGCTTTGCATCCTCTATACAAACTCACTGGTGTAATCATCGTCAAGTTTCCTTGGCCTACTAGTAAGTTTTTCTGTGAAGTGCTCGTATTTCATAGGTTTAGCGAATTTTGTACTCCAGTTACGAATTTGTATGGTCTCGTATTTTCTTAGTGATTCCGCCACATTTATTGTTTTATTATTTTATTATATGACCCGATTACTTCTCTCATTTGGTTCGTTTCCTCTCATCCAACATTCACAGTGGTCCTCGAAGATTTCGCATGTTGTGCAGCTGCTGCTTGAGGGCTCCGTGTTCTTTACTAATATCGTGGAATTCTGACCGAGTAAAGTCTCCTTGCAACCTCGGAGATAGCCAAGCTCAGGCGTTCCCCTGTGGATTGGAACAGAGCATTCGGATGGGGCTCGAGCTAGCGCTTTTGCTTCCTGATCAACGGCATCACTAATCCATTGAGCTATACCCTCCTACCATTCCGCCACATTATTCAAATAAATTTAGCACATTATCAGCGATGATCCTCTAGAATTTTATGTTAGAAATGAAAGGAGAAGTACGGGAATAAAAGTTGCTAGATGGCCTTCATACCGTCCTTCCTGAAAACTTCCTTCTCGTAATCCCAGCCATTAGCCAGAAGTAACGGTTGATGACCGGTTTCGGCAATGGTGGTGTAAAGGCTTGTATATAGCTAAACCTAAACGAAACATTTACGAAGGAAATGGTTGCCTTTAATAGATAATTTTAGAGTTGCATCGTTTCATGAAAATATTGGAATCCAAAGTTCCTACTTAGGTAGTTATTCACGAATAAAGGAAATATGTAAAAATACTAAAAATCAGGTGGACCTGACAGATCATCCAATTTAACAGCTGTTGATAGTCCTTGTCAACTACTAGGTCTAATGAGATATCAAGCACATAGTAGCAAGATCGGCTACAGTCAGACTTTTTTTTAAAAATATTTTTCCTTGAAATTTTTTCATAAGATTTATCTCCGCCTCAAAGCATAAGCAAATCCGAGCCTTTGCTTGCGCCCAGTAAAAGCTGTAGAGGATTCAAAAATTGTGGACACGCAGCTACTATTAATAGTGTTTTCTTCGGTTATTTGGGTTAACGTTCTAGTAAATAAATGTTGTCGTATCTTAGCCAAACATGTCTTGCAGATCTTTTCGTTTTAGTGCCCGTGAAGGATCTCGTGAAGCAGATGAACTCATGAGTGAGTTAGAGGACCGATTTACTGACGGAGCTCTTAATGTGGCTGTAAAAGTGGTGAAAATGGATAGCGAAGAAAGTATGATAGATCAGTTACGAGCGGACGCTCCAAACAACACCTTCTTTGGATGTGCCATTAACAGGTCTGAAATTCGTTTATTATTGAGCAGTGGGTAACCATACGCTGCATTATGCTTCACCACTTCAAAATATCGATTACTCATACTTGTTATTAGTGTTAGTAATCAATACTTTCCATTATTGGCGTAGGTGGAGATTGAATTCTTTAAGGTTTATCGGTGGAGTGATTTTCGGTCGCTTAAGTACGGTCGAGCATAAGTTAGATTATCACATATTGTTTCCAAGAGGAGTTGCCGACTACCGTTGGTTTCTGGACCAGGAGTGGAATAATCCATTTGGATCCGATATGGATTATAACAAGTAGGTGTTCAGTGGGTTAGTTGTGAAATAGGCTGGTGAATAAACTTCAAATCTGCGTTTTACCCTAGGATCCCTGCTGTGCCACCCTATTGGTCGTCAGCGTTTCTATCACTACAGTATGCAATCGATAGTCTCTTTATCAACGTATGTTATGAAGTCGGTATTTTTTCTGTGGAGAAGTTTGAGCTGTTTTTTATTCAGGGATCTACATCAAGTGGCGTTGAGATAGAGGAAGTGAGACTGAGACGTCTACCTGAAGCCACATGTAATTTGAACAGTGTTGCGGCATTTCTGTCAGGTTCATCGTACCTCTGGGGTCTCTCCGCTTTCGTTCTAGTAATTCACACAGCGAGACAGTTAGCTACTGAAAGAAGCACTGTTAAGGTAAGAAAGTAGGGACAAACATATGTGAAAGGTGTTAAAAATTAACAAATGACCGGCAAGTGAATACAATTTTTTTTTCAAGTTAAACAAATGGGTACACATGTAGGAAATCTCTTCTATTGATTGCTCATGTTCAGTGCGATTAGTCTCCATCGTAGAAAGTGCCATAATAGGACATTATTCCAGGAATTTCTTTCTGTTATGGGTTTATCGACACCGATGTTCTACTTGTCACACATTTTGTACGCTTCATTTAAATGTCTGGTTGTGTTCCTCATATGCTGTATACCTCTTATTGCAAAAATAGAGGTAAGTGTATTCGGATTGTTGCGTTACTTTTTCCAGTGGGGAAGAGTTATGTTTTTACATTTGTTTCAGCCAGTAAGTGTTTCTCTGTTTCTTATGGTCATCATCTTCTATGGAATCTCAGCAACCGTCTTCGCGGCGCTAATGTCGTCGTTGTTCAAGTCGCCAAACACTGTCCTGAAAGGTACTACGCCTTTCAATTTTCCTTCATTTATCGTAGTGAAAGGGCGTGTGTAGCGCAGTAGTCGTAGTCACCGTGCAATACACATAGGATCGATTTCCTAACCGAAGTCTCACCAAGCTCTCTATCCCTCCGGAGCCAGCAAATTGGTGCCAGACTTGTCTGGGAGAATAGCAGCACTGACTCGACACAACGGTAGGCCACCATGAGTCTTTGTAAAAGCCAGATATGCATTCGATCACCTCCAGTGATGCTTAGTGAAGTCGAATGCATGGCGCATCCTCAGGGATTGATCAACGTCGGAGGTTGTATCCTTTATCCTTATCGCAATAAAGTTACATTCACTGTTGAATTGAATAGGTCAGAAGGAGTAATACACTTTCTAAGTGCAGTGTTCTTAATTTTACAATTACATTCCTTTTATTGTTTTCCTGTATGAGAGAAATGAGTAGATGCCTTGTAGAGTTTGGTTGTGGTCTGAGACACTCACGTAGTACGTAAATTTATAGTGTGTAACTCTTCTCTTTTAAGTAACTATTATTCTGTGGCTGTTGCTGGTGGGACTTCCGTTTCGTGCTCCTCGTGTTGATCAAATATTTTTGTGTATCCTGTCCTGTCTAAATCCGAATGCAGCATTATCCTATGCGTTAAAATCAGTGGCCGACTACATGAACAGAGGTAAGCTTTCTATTTATTACTTCAAGTTATTTTCATTGGAAATAGTTGTTCTAGGAGTGAAGTTACATTACAGATCGTCCTCTGTCCTGGTTTAATATGTTTGAGGGCGGATCATTTCATTTCACACTGGGAGTCGCTTTACTGATGATGTTGCTGGATATCGTCTGGATGTTTGTGGCGACGATTTTCTTCGACTTATTGTTCAGCGACTCTGACTTTACGTTATTCAAGTTCCCGCTTGCAAGTGGAGTATGTCTTAATCAATATTTGTTAAAACAATTTTTTGCATTCTTTCTTTGATGGGCTTACTCGAGGTTGATAAATGTTTATTTTTGGCTAACTACTTCTTACTTTTTTGTATATTTTACACCTAATGTTCTTTTATGCTTCCTCCTTTTGGCTAATTATTTCGATTTCTTTTACTCGAATTCTAATTTAAAGAATCTTTTTACAGTACTTGCAGTCATCAAACTCTCGCCTTAATACTATCAGCGACAATAATGAGACTGATGAAGGGTTGCTTCGGACTAAAGCTGGTATTAGAGTGCAACAACTGATAAAGGTTGCAATGTGCAGTTTTCAGTTGTCACATTTACTACTATCTACGGTACTGTGCTTCCAGGTGTGGTCTTCAACCGGCGAACGCGCCGTGGATGAGATGGCTTTAGAAGCTTATGTTGGGCAGGTGAATATTTACATTCAGGCATATCATTACTTACATGGACCGTCTTCACTGGTTGTGCGGCTCCCAGCGTTGTTTCTATTGTTTCGGAGTTTTCCTTGTTTAGCCGTTGTGGTTACCTGGAATCCCGAGGTCGGCCTGGCCAAAATTTGCCCCAGGTCGTCACAACCATAGGCAATCGCAGCCCTTGTGGTTCATTAGGAGATTTGACTAGTTTGATACGAGGACGGTGGTGGATCCTGGTATTGGTTTCCTGATAGAAACGACAGATTCATTCTGTCTGTGATGACCTATTAGGGTATAAATCGCACCGTTGTACATTGCAGCCCGACACCCAGGAGGAATCTGCCATCCACGATGAGCCGGTAATCCGTTTGGAGCATACGGAAGTATATAAAATAAAATAAAGGGCAAGGCTATCGGTGTTGATCAATCCTTGAGGGATGCGCCATGCATTCGGCTTCATTAAGTACCGTTGGAGGTGATTGAATGCAAATCTAGCCTTTACAACGACTTGCAGTAGCCTACCGATGTGTCGAGCCAGTGATGCTATCCTCCCAGACAAGTCCAGTACCGATTTGCCGACCTCGGGGAGATGGAAGTCTTGGTGGGCTATGGACACTGGGATCGATTCCACGTGTGCGTTGCAGTGCGCCTCCGATCACTGCGCCATACACCTGCCACGGAAATACATGTCGTATATACATATATATATATATATATATGTATAAATTTATATCGGTGTTGTTAACTATCATATCTTACAGTAGCTAAGTAGGGTGTCGTCAATTAAATGGTTAAACATCAACTTTTGATCGATTTTGTCATCTTAAATATTTATAGGACTGGTAGTTCGATTCTTTTGTTCAATCCTTTTATAGGTAACTGTGCTTCTTGGACATAATGGTGCAGGTAAAAGTACAACGTTTTCAGTGATTTCCGGAATAACGGCTCCGACGTCAGGTTTCTTCTTCTGTAATATGCTACATGTGCAGTGTTTTGTAATATGTGCAATTCTATGGAGGTTTAATTAATTAATGCTATTTTTCAGGCAGAGTTTTAATTAGCGGTCTGGATATTCAGAAACAACGATCGCTGTGTCGAAGGTTCATAGGTTTATGTCCTCAAGGAAATGCACTTTTTGACCGATTGACAGTTGACGAGCACCTGTGGTTCATACATGGTTTGAAAGGAGCCCCAGGTTCATATATGACCGAAGCCGAACAGTTACTCCATCAGCTTAAATTGCTCGAGAAATCTGACGAGGTTTGGGTCACAAATGTTTTGCTAAATCTCTTCCGAAGAAGTTGCTCCGTTGAATTCTCTTTCCCTACAGTTAGAACGCTTTTAGCTGGCAATGAATCTTTCTGGCGGTCAAAAGCGAAAATTATGCGTGTCTATGGCCGTTATTGGTAATAGTACAGTGATTTTGCTCGACGAGCCTACTGCTAGCATGGATCCTTGCGCTCGACGAGATGTTGAGTCACTAATTCACTCAATAAAAATGGATCGGTGGGTAGAACAAATGCTTCTTATGTTTAGGTTCGCAAGGTATTGTAATGTCCTAACATTCATTTTTTCAGAACTGTACTGCTGACTACACATTATATGGATGAAGCTGAATTACTTGGAGATCGCGTGGCTATTATGGCACGAGGTCGAGTGTATTGCTGTGGGACACCACAATTCCTCAAAAAGAGGTGAGTAATTACAAATGCATCTCTAATCTGTAATTGCAGTTGATAACAAAAACGAAATTGCGTACTGCATTTGTCACTTAGATTCGGAACTGGTTACGTCATGACCGTGGTAGTCACGGACAATACTAACGCACAAGGGATTGCTGGAGCATTGACACAAGTCTCCAGGAAATACGTCACAGGAGCAACGAAAGGGAATGTGCATGGGAAGCAGTTTGAAATTATCTTACCTAAAGAAGATCAAGGGAAGTAGGTTTTTTCATTGTTTAAATTTTTTTGTGGTTGATGACTTTACATCTCTTTGAACGCGTTACAACTCATTCATGTGGAAAACTGTAGGAATCTCTCCGGCAATGTGAAAAATGTTGATTTCGAATAACTAAAGACTGAAAAGACACTTTTAAAGTTGAAAATTGAAATAGTTTACAGCTTCCTAATGTCCAGATAGAAGACTTACTGAATCTAGAAGGGCAACAGAGATCACCTTTGATTTCTATTCTGTTCTTTTCGAAAGGGACGTCCACGCTGTGACGTTTTCATTTTCAAGTCCTTCATGGTTTATCCTTGATAAAGAACTGTGCAATAACCTGTGTTGTCAGAGTCGACCCGAGCATCTGAAGAGTGTAGCACCAACACCAGCCTTCATAGATGCGTTTTCACGGATTTTCACATTCTACATCATAAAATGAAATGTGTTTTCGGCCGATAGCAAGTCAAAAACGCCAAAAAAATGGAGATGCACACATGATTCACATTGTCGCACAATCTAACCAGTATGTGTGGTTTAGAACCTCTAGAAAAGTTGTCCACATCGACATCGGACGAAGAACAACTTTCCGGGAAGGCAGAGTTTTGAGAAGAGTTCATTACGACGGTCCATATACACTCACGTTGATAGAAAATGTTTAAGTATCGCGGAGGTAAAATAAGTCGTTGTGTGTTAATGTCGCAAATGTGAAATATTTGCATTCATTAGTGAAGAGAGGCGTTCTAGATGTTGTGTATCCGCGATGCGTCGCTAATAGACGTTAAATAACAGATGAAGCGAGCTCTCATCAAAAGTTGTCCTTATGGAGTTTACAAGAGCCTAGTAAATATGTTGACAAAGACAAGGAGATGATCGTAGGCTTATACAACATCAGGAAACAAAAAGACAAGTGGACACCTTCGACCAACGTCGACGATTGCAGATAAAGAACGTTTTCTTATAAGCAATCGACGAAAAATTGGTGGTCCGTATCCGAAGTCACAGCAGCGAGACTGCCACCACCATAGTCATGCTTCATAAAGGCATTTGAAGAAAAATATGATTATCTGCATGTTTCCTGGACAGTCATAACCTACTGGACGTAGACAGCATTTGACCGCAACTAGAACAATTAGTATTACTATTGCTTGCTTGAATCAGTGGCTAATTATTGGACGAACATTATGCAAGTGATAGCATCGTCATTGTTTCCTGTGTTAAAACCATACAAATCATTCACGACAAGAACGTTGATCTCTAATGGCAAAATATTTTCAGTTTCCCAAGATTGTTTGAATATTTGGAAAATGCTAAGGATGAGTTGCAAATCAGCAGCTTCGGGTTATCGTTGAACACATTAGAACAGGTATTTCAATGCATTTTTCGTATAAATGACCGTATGGCCGTAATAGAGTAAGGCGTTGTTAATTTGAAATTGACGAGTTCATTGGTCATATAACGGAATAGCACGGTCCTGTACTATCGGCAGTACTTTATTAGATTTCAGTGCAAAGGATAAAAGTGCGGTTGTGATATGTCTACGTAGAGTTGATAAATTGCGCAGTGCTTCACTTTTAATCCCTACTTTTTCTTATGAAATAGGCTTCGCGATGATTTTCCACTTGTTAGCACTGATGATTAACTGTTCTGGTTTAGTGCTAAATGCACGGTTTTGTATAGGGCGTCTGAAATGTCGTTTTTCTTGAATTTCACCTTTGTTACTCAAATAACGTGTGCTACATTCAGTACAACTTAGGAACATAGTGCAAGCTTAATTTTGGATCCGGCAAAGTCGTTAGCGCATTTTTACTTCCCTTTATCACGGAATATTTTGTCTATGAGGAGTGATGTTTGCAAAAGTGGTAATACATTCACAATGGACTTCGTCAGTAAGGATGATGAAGCACACAGTTTCATAATGCAACTCCTACAGCTTGGCAATCAGAACTTATGAAACGTGTTTCGTTGCGTTATTAGACGGCAGGGTCGGCATTTTTCGACTAATGCTCTTCATAGACGTTACAGTTCTTCGTTAATTTAGTCAGTTCTCAAAGGGGCTTCTCTTCGTTGAAGATTGCGCTACGATTCAAGGAATTATTGTAAATGATTTCATCTGTAGAGCACAAAGAAATTCCGATCTTCCTTGGTGCTAATCACACTTCAAGAGTTTGTTCCCGGTGCCTCATAATTGCGAAGTCTTATGCAGAGCATTTTTTGATTTTGTTATACAAAGTCGAAAAAAAAGCCGCTTTTTATTCAATGAAGCTTTGACTATGGCGATATCTCGAAAACGTTATCCATGGTAAAGATTTAGAGTCGAAATCGTATAAGCTTATCACTTGACGAAAATCAGTAGTCTCTTTGCTTTTCACAACTTCACGTTACACCTGCTCGTCGACTTTTTTGTTTGTATTTCTCATTCGCTAATCCGGAATTTTCTTTTCAATTGTAGTACTTTCGCAGATCTCCCAATTGTTTTACATGGCAGTACTAAAAATAACCCCTGCAGATACTCATCGTCGATAGAAGCGAGGTCTTACGCGTTCAGTCTTACCATCAACTTGGCATAGCACTCATGAAAATCATTGTATCCTATGCTAAACAGGAAAAAAATTATAAAAAAGCAATACAGCATTATTTTGTGAAATCTGGGTTTTGCAATTGCGTAACATTCACAAATAGAAAATACTACAGAAAAAAGGATCTTCAAAAAAAGCTTCCACATTGCAAAGCTGGACACTTCACAATGAATAATTAATATATAGGTCTATCTAAACGTGGCCGAAAAGGTGGATCCTGGTTCTGTGACTGATGCTGTGAGCGCTAGTATTAGTCGATGCGAAGAGCTCGTAAAAGCGCAGCACGGTGAGTTTCCTCGGCTGTTTTGTTTTGTATTCTACTCTTCCTCTCGCTTTCTTATTACTGTGATCATTTATAGATGATAAGCAATTTCCCAAGACAGACTTTTTGTTACCCTCGGCATTGATTAATAATTCAATGTTTTTCTTCAATAAGCAGATACGAGATTGTTATTATAGAATCCATTCGGATACAATAGCTGACGTTTCGGCGGTTTCGCGTTCTTCAGAGCGTGGAGAGGTCAAATTGGGATGCGATCTACTCAGCCAAACACTTTAATAACCCTAGCAGGTTGAACTTAACAAATAAATTTGTATTCGCATAAGAAACAGCTTCATTTAAACATCTACCGTTTTATTTGTTGCAAGTATTTAAGTAAGTTGATGGATAGCAGCCGCATAGAGTAATACATGAGCGATAACTATGTCTGTGTCAGGTCATTAGATTAGCCCGAGGTATGGCGCTAGGTCATGTGTGATGACAAGACACTCCTCCTTGCGGTACATTTTTCAATTTTTGGTATTGATCTAAAACGCTCCAAGAGTTTTACGCGCCGATGTTTTCGATTCCTGCGTAAGGATAGTGACTCTTACCTCAAAATCTTCTCCGTTGTGTTCCTGCATCCTATGCGCGCCTAGTGGAGTGTTTGGTTATAATTTAGATTTACCTACTAGATGTTCTTTTATGCGGACGCAGAGTGGTCTACCCGTTTCGTCAACATATTCGTGCCCTCACTCTTTACAAGAGATCAGATAGGCTGTACCCGAACTCATGCAATCATCGTCTCTACCATTTGGGCAAATTATGCAGGTTTTTGTTGTACATTGTACATAGACGGTCGCATAGGCGGTTGCGAACTAGCTGGCGTCTTAGAGTGTTCGGTGGTATTTCTATCACTCTTACGGAATTCTCTAGACCGGCCCTTATTAAGCAACGTTTTGTGGCCGCACTTATTTCGTTTGAAATAAAGGGCAAGAGGAACTTCGCTTCGCTAGAATTATCACTCTGGGACGTGGTTTTTCCTCTATGCCAATGCCGAGAAGCTAAAGTTTCGTAGCCGTTTGAAATGGCTATTTGGCTCACTAGTTTCAAGGATTCTTCCTTCTGCTGTCTATCTGTGCACACACTGGTGGCGGTTCGAAACATATTTCTTATAAGCGTCCTGTTGGTGCATGACGGATGAGAAGAGGGGTAATGAACCACAAAAACAAAAACAAGGCTCCGTTCCTCTTTCCCTTTATTTCGAACGAAATAAGTGCAGCCATAAAACGTTGCTTAATAAGGGCCGGTTTAGAGAATTTCGTAAGAGTGAAATAGATATACTATCGGACACTCTAAGACGCCAACTAGTTGGCAGCCGTCTACATGACCATGTATAACGAAAAGTTGCATAATTTGCGCTAACGGTAGAGACGGTGATTGCATGAGTTCGGGTACAGTCTATCTGATCTCTTGTGAAACGTGCGGGGACGAATACGTTGGCAAAACGGGTAGACCGCTCTGCATCCGCATAAATGAACACCTAGTCGGTAAATCTAAATTAAAACCAAACACTACACTAGGCGCGCATAGGATGCAGGAACACAACGGAGAAGATTTTGAAGTAGGAGTCACCATCCTCACTCACGAATCGAAAACATCAGCGCGTAAAACTCTTGAAACGTTTTAGATCAATACCAAAAATTGAAAAATGTACCGCAAGGAGGAGTGTCTTGTCATCACGCATGACCTGGCGCCATGCCTCGGGCTAATCTAATGACCTGACACAGACACAGTTATCGCCCATGTATTACTCTGTGCGGCTGCTATCCATCAACTAACTTAAATACTTGCAACAAATAAAACAGTAGATGTTTAAATGAAGCTGTTTCCTATGCGAATACAAATTTATTTGTTAAGTTTAATCTGCTAGAGTTATGAAAATGTTTGGTTGAGTAGATCGCATCTCAATTTGAGCTTTCCACGCTCTGAAGAACGCGAAACCGTCGAAACGTCAGCTTCACGTCATTATATCCTAATAAATTCTATAATAACAACCTCGTGTCTGCTTATTGAAGAAGAGCATCGATAAGCAAATTATTACTATGTCATGTAGCATCTTCGAAATCCTTTTTTTCCAGCCGGTCGTTTTAGTGGCTTACCGTTGG